GAGTGCTGACTGATCACCAATTTTTTTTTTAAGTCAGTGGGAGCTCTTAGGGTTCAGAGAGTCTCCAGTGGTGGCCAGGAATTGTGGTGGTGGTTGCTGGCGTTCAGCGAGGGAGTGGGATATACTGGTACAGGATTTTCAGTTTCCATCAAATGCCAACAGAAATGACCCATGAGCAGCTTCTTCCCTCTGCTCTGCATCGCTGCTGTGTCACTTCTGGCTCTTCGCAGCTCCTTTGGATTTTGGAACGTGAAGCCCCAATATTTAAACTCTGGCAGGTGGTTTATGGAAGATAAATCAATGAGCTGTCGTTCTGTGCTGTCTCCAGACTCTCCGCAGGGGCTAGTCTCTTGTGGCCCATTTTAAGGAACCTCAGTTTACTGACCTAAAGGTGGAAACGCGACCTGTGATTTGAATCTGCCTTTGGTTTGGGCTTGATTTTTCTGCCATGAAATGTAACTAGCATTTAGGGCTCTGGGATTTGTTACTAGTTGCTCCCTCAGTCTCCTTAGTGAAAATCTCCACTCCATCTATGGGATTGATTTGTTACACAGTCATTCTTTCAGTGTTTTCCTTTACTTTGTCTGTTTTGGGGAATAGTCGTGCCTCCCAGGAATATCAGAAATTAATATTTTCTGTGATTGCAGTGTATTGCTGTTTTTTTCCATTAGTGTTACTAGCTATTCCAAGTGGTTAAGGAATCAGTTTATGTGCTTTACAAAATGATAGGTATTTAGCTGAAGTATATAGAAATCCAGACAGTAATACAAAATCAATCTTTTGTAAGGTTATTTGAGGTAATGATATAGTGATAAGTTAATTTTACAGTGATTAAGAGACAACACAGTTGGGGCTCCCACTTAGACTTTGATCTGAGGATATTTCTCTCTACACTTGATGAGCAAGAAAGAGATGAGAATTAATGGTAAGACATGAGGCTTTGAGCAGCTGGAGGCCGGGTTCTGTGTTTTATTATGAGAGCTGATGTAAAGGAAGATTTTAAAATTAACTGGATACATATACTTTGATTTCTCATCTTTAAAGTTTATTGATTTCAAATTGACATTAAAATATCCTCTGCTGTTGAGAGTAACTGAAAAGAACAGTGAAACTGAATACATTTTCACAAAAAACACAAGAACGACTCAAAAAACCACGCCTCAAACTAAAAAAAAATACCTCAGTGACTCCAAAGAATAAAATAAGTTTCAATTTACAAAGCACGAGAAAAGAATCAATGAAAGGGTCCAAAAAGCTAAGTAAGGGGAGTCACAAAGGGATAGGTCCATTACCTAGATCTGTTATTAAATAAGAAAGGAGAACGAGTAACAGATTTTCAAAGACTGATTCTTTACTTCATGCTTTATAAAAGAGATATATTGTGACCTGCTGCTTTCATAAAATTAATCTTGGACAGGAAATAAGAGTGGAACCGAAGCACAGAAAGAATAGCCTAAGGAATCTTAATATAGATGTGCTCAAGTGGCAAATCCTAATAAAATTCATCCCAGAATGATTGAGGAATTAGGCACCACTGATTTTATATATTTATTTATTTAATGTCCCAGAGGGTGAAAATAGCCAGCGAAATGGGCTTGTGTGTGTGCGCTTTTGTGTCTCTTTACTCTTCTGAGGGAATTGTTGAAGCTGTTCCTTTCGGTGCCAAATAAAGGTTCGGGAGTTTAGCAATTAATTTGTATCTAAAAATGAGCAGAAGAGCGATGATGAACCAGCCACTGTGGTTTGACGTGACTCGTTCATAAGAAACCTCGGTCTGTTTTCTCCTTTTAGAAAGGATGACAGGCTTAGTAAGTAAGAGGGAAATTTCAAGTACAATGCAGCTTGATTTTAATAAAGTCTTTTTCCCCCCATAAGCGAGCTAAGGCAACGCACTATTGATACTATCTCCATTAGATGCTGATATTATCAGCAGCACGTTGAAAAATTGCCTTTACAGAGTCATTATCTATCGTAGCCTGTCAAGATGAAAAGGCATTAATGAGTTCGATGATGGAGGAGAACACAGGCACACAGAAGTTACTGATGATACTCAAGTGGAGAGGGTCGAAAGTTTTGGATTGGCTGGGCTTTTTTGTTTTGAACGTGAGATATGAATCCAAAACACTGATGAATTTGGAGAGAATCTCTGGAATGAACAAGATGAAAAATGAAGCCCGGCATTCAAGAGGAAGAACTCAAATGCATGAATATAGAACAGGAAATAATTATTCAGACAGAAAAATGATAGGTCTGAAGATACAGTAGACCTCAAGGTAATCACTAACTGTTCTGCTGGAAAAAAGGAAGGGTGGTTTTGTGTTGGTTTTGTGTTTCCTGGAGGGTCACACCAGGTGTGTCGTAGGAAGGAGGACATTGTCTAGTTCCACAGACCCTCTGCATGCCGTCGGTGCCCTCGCCTGCCCCACTGCTCTTCCTCTTGAGAACCTGCAGCCAAACTGGAAATTCTGCTCCATCGTTTTCATTGTTTTCTCCTGTGGAATGAAAACCATCTTTATTTGTAATAAGGGTGCTTTAGAAGGACTATGAGAGATGCTTTGTAATTATTTGGGTGATAAAACACTGGACTAGGCTACCTAGAGAAAGGGTGGAATAGGCTTTCTCGGTGAATAAACATCTGTCAAGATGTTCTTGAGCCTGTGTTCGTGCTGGATTAGGATTAGGCAATTTGTGGTGTCTGTTCCATTCCTGCACCAGTGCAGGGCTCAGGCTGGGTGTTTTGGCTGCACGGAGAAGATTCTCTCAAATAGTTAAATCAGGAGCTCGGTGAAGTGATGGGTGCGCTGCTTCTTGCCTCCTAAATGCAATTTTAAGTCAGAGCAGCGAGGAGCAAAGGGCATTTTTGACTTAATAAAATATATTTTTATTTGGCTTCTCAAAAAGTGTTTTGAGAAATCATACTTAGAGATTCTGCATATAATCTATGGCTGTCTATCCTCTACAGATTGTGCTAGAAGAGCAGGGGCTGCAGTTGCTGAGACAGCACAAACCCCGTGGTTACTCGTAGCCCTGTGGGGAAAACGGCACCTAGAGGTTGCTCGGATTTGTCTCTTTCTGCAGGCAAAGTTTACAGACCTGTAAATTTAAATGTAGAATTTTTGTGGGCAGGATGCATTGACAAATATGCCTGATGGTAATACATCTCGTCCTGATAGTCCCAGAGCAGGTCAATAATAATGCTCATATTGATAGCAGCAACGCAGGAGATGTTACTCGGTGTTATAGCTAAAATCCATGTTATCCCCTTAATCATAATTACATTAATATTGACAAGCTGTTGACAATACTCACATTACTATTGATAGATTTCTGTCAATAACATGTTTCCAAATAAAATATATTCATTCATAATTTGTAGAATGCTCGATAACAGCTCTAACATACACCAGGAGAAATTCCTCTTTCCCTGGTGATATACAATAATTACTGTTGTTGTTGTTGCACAGTGTACAGTACAAGTGGGATCGTTCATTTGTTTTGTTTAAAAAAAAAAAACAACCGACAAACTATAGGTTATTAAAGAAAGGGTTTTATTTCTGGGAGGCAGTTTTCTATTTTTCTCTCCGCAGTATCTGTGACGGTGTGAAATGAAGGGAGAACCTTTCAAGAAGTAGCCGTGGTCTTTAGTGGTTGGTCTCAAAGTGTGTTTGTGGAACAAGTAAATCACACATCCAGTTTATTCTCTATCCTATCTCAGCCCATTCCAATGTGCAATAACCCTTTCTGTGTAGAAATTTTCCCAATCTCCAATCTGAACCTCCCCTGCTGCAACTTGAGGCCATTTCCTCTTGTCCAGTCTTGTGTTGTAGCGCGTTTTCCTCCTATAAGTAAGGATTTTCAGTACCACCTTCTGTACTCTCTCCAGAAGGCTGTTGACCCTTGCGTGTCTGTTTTGCAAAGAATCTGGTTTAGAAAGTGGAATGTATTGCATACTACCTGAAATACACCACTTCTCCTAGATCACTTTGGGGTTTTTATGTGGATAAAAGAAACAAAGAATCGGTTACCCCAAAATTTGTCATTATTGAGGTGTTACCTATATTTTTGCTCTTGCAATTTATTACCTTTATTTTCTTAGTCACAGAATTCCAGATACAATAACACTTAAACCAATCAATTTAAAAAAAAATAAATTAATTTTTTCTCTGTAATGCTTGAACAAGAAGAGTATACATGTGCTGACGTTTCTAGTATACATTAATCATCTTGCCAGGAAATTTGTTATAGGACAAGTAGCACAATCCTGCACCTGTCAAAAGGCTCTAGAAAATACATGCTGCTCCAGTGAGGTACTCTATGATAATTTATGTCTGAATGCTGAATATTTCTTTAATCTCATATAATGATTCTTCTCTGAACTAAACAAATCATTGCCTTTATTCAGCAAGTTTTATCATTCCCACCTTAATTTACATCCATATCTTTCTGTATGTAATCCTTAAATTAGTTAGTATTTCTACGATTTTTACTTCCAGCTGCAGCTACTGAAGTGTTCCCATGGCCGTGTTTTCTGCCCACCCCACTGGTCTCTTCCAAATTTTAGTTAGTGTGGGCATTTTCCCTCCTTCTCTGTAAACCACTATATAGTTTTACAGTTCTTGTTTCTGATCTTCTATTTACAGATATTCATATTACAGATATGCCCAGTAGTTTGCTTATTTATTTATTTATTTATAAAGCCAAATGCTAAATCTGTGGCTTTTTCTAAATATCTGGGAGTTGTCAAACACTTCTCTGTAACAGAATACCAATGTTACTGTTTGTGAGAAACAGTCCAAGATAACAGTATAAAACTGCATCTCAAAAGAAGTTAATGTAAAGCTTTTAGAAGGGACTTTTAGTGCATTAATATCATGTTAATACAGTATTCTGAAGAAGCTGTTTTGTTATTTCTTGTTTATTGCTGTGGTTTGTTACAACTTTGTTATCTTTAATAAGAATTGGAAATGCTTCATTATAATAAAAATCTATTTTGTGTTTATTCCTAGAAAGTTTTTGGGTGAAGAAATGGCCTCCAGCCCTGGGAAGGAAAAGAGTGTGAATCCTGTGCTCAGAATAAGTCAACTCGATGCTCTTGAGCTGAACAGAGCCCTGGAACAACTGGTGTGGTCCCAGTTCACCACCTGCTTCCATGGATTTAAGCCGGGGGTGTTGGCTCATGTTGAACCAGAACTGAAAGCGTTTTTATGGCTTGTGTTGTGGAGATTCACTGTCTATTCCAAGAACGCGACGGTGGGACAGGCCATTCTGAATATTCAGTACAAGAATAACTTCTCTCAGACGGAGAAGTACCAGCCTCTGAGCAAACACCAGAAGCTGTGGTACCTCATCCTCACTGTTGGTGGAAGGTGGCTGGAGGAAAGATGTTACGATTTGTTTAGCAATCGTCAGCTGCAGGCTTTCTGCAGAATGAAGCCTTATATTAACTTTGGAGCTGGACTTCTTAAACTTTGTGGCCTTGTAAATTTTCTGGTTTTTCTTCAGAAAGGAACGTTTGCGACGCTCACAGAGCGCGTCCTGGGGATTAGGTCAGTTTTTTGCAAGCCGCCAAGCGTGCGTCAGGTAGGGTTTGAGTACATGAACAGGGAGCTGCTGTGGCATGGCTTTGCTGAGTTCCTGATCTATCTGCTGCCGCTAATTAATGTGCAGAAACTGAAACTCAAAATTTCCTCTTGGTGTTTGCCTATTGCGGGTCTTTCCGACGGTGACAACGCGTTAGCAGCTCAGGGCAGAGAGTGCTCGCTGTGCGGGGAATGGCCAACCCTGCCCCACACCATAGGCTGTCCCCACGTCTTCTGTTACTACTGCATTAAGAGCAACTACTTATCTGATATGTATTTTACCTGTCCTAAGTGTGGCTCGGAGGTACACAGTCTGCAGCCACTGAAACACAGAATTGAAATGACAGACCTGCGTGCCTGACGGGGACTTGATGTGGGTTTGTACTGTACATGAAATATTATGTTACAGAGATGAATGGAAAAATTCAGAAACTATCATAACAGACAGCTTAAAAGTGGGCTTGGAGACTCTGTCATTTGTTGTAACGTGTGTCTTCACTGATATTATTTGTTTTACTGAGCGACGGTGGCACCTTGGCTCTGCTCTCTCACAGAATCACAGAATCTTAGTGGTTGGAAGGGACCTCTGAGATCATCGAGTCCAACCACAAAAAAAAAAACAAAACAAAACAAAAAAAACCCAACCAAACAAATACAAAACACACCACACCAAATGCCCACCAAAACCACCGCACCCACCAACTAAACCCCACACTCAACACCTCACCATAAACCAATAACCTTGGGCACTAGAGCATGCCCTGAAGAGCCATGTCTACACGTTTCTTAAATCCCTCCAGGGATGGTGACTCCACCACCTCCCTGGGCAGGCTGTTCCAGGGCCTGACCACTCTCTCAGTAAAGTAATTCTTCCTAATATCTACTCTAAACCTCCCCTGCCCCAACTTCAGACCATTTCCTCTGGTCTTGTCGTTCGTCCTTTGGGAGAAGAGGCCAACACCTGCCTCTCTACAACCTCCTTTCAGGTAGTTGCAGAGGGCAATGAGGTCTCCCCTCAGCCTCCTCTTCTCCAAACTGAACATGCCCAGTTCCCTTGTAGGGACTTGTTCTCCAGGCCCCTCACCAGCTTGGTGGCTCTCCTCTGGACACGCTCCAGCACTTCAATGTCTCTCAGGCTACCTGAGCCTGGTTGGTACCCCTCTGTTGTCAAGTCTCTCCTTCCATCCAGAGTCTTTCCCCCTGCTCCTTCCTACCTGCACGTCCTTCTCTTCCCTCAGAGGTAGCCAAGGTTCCCAGGAACCTCTTACCCAGTTTGTGGATTTTCTCAACCATGTTGGAAAAGCTTCTGCTGTTACCAACTTAGCGAGTAGATGGATTTAGTGGGAAAGTCATCCTTGTCACACCTGAAGAGTAACTTAAATTTTTGTATTTTGAATTTGATTTCCCAGGGTGATGTAAGATGAACTGTCATCTCAGGAGATTATTAGTAGTTTTCATCACATTCAGCCCCAATAGCAGAACATACCCTTTCTCTAATTCAGAATTGCTCTCTTAGCAGTAGACCATGAGCTTTAAGTGATCTCTTTGGACAAACAGATATTCCAGAGTTCACCTGCGCCTACAGCAGATATAGCCACTACAGTGCACCTTCTAGACCTTCATGAGATGACCCATCTCCTTTTCTCACTCAATTATATGTCTGTGACCTTCAGTGCTGTATATATGTGCCCACCTCCCACTTCTCCCCTATGAAGCTGAGGGACATTGTCCATCCATCATCCACTGGAGTGTGGCACCTGCCCAAGGTAACCCATCTTCTTCTGAGTCAGAGGGGCTGGAGAAAACTTGACTCACAAGGTGCTGTCTTTGGGACTTGCCACTCTCCTTCCTTTGGGGTGGCCTGGGTGGGTGCCAGACCTCCCTCACGGCTCACCGCACCGGGGAACACCACACACACCATGTGTGGGTAGGCTTATCAAAAAAAATAGATAACTCTTCCTGTTTTTTACTGTTACTACTTACTACAGAGCTCTTGGCTTTGCAATGTTTTTATTATTCCCTGTTTTAACACTTCATCCATTTATTTTCTGACCTGTTTTTTTAAGATTTATCTTTTTTTCAAAATCCCAGTCCTTTTTCAACAGAAAGCCTTACCCAGAGGTGTCTCATTAACACAAAAATACAGTGTATCCCTTTTTGGCTCTTAAATAAAATTCTCAAAAACTTACAGAGTTAAATTGAGTAAATCACTTGATGGTGGCTGTGTTGTTGATTGGCTGTCATCGATAGTCAGTCCCAAAAATAGTATGGGAACAACTGATCTAATATCTTTGATCTACTTTTATGAAATGGTTTATTACACTCTTCAGCATCTGATTAAAACAACCCACCAGCCTATTTGTTTGAAGATCTTAAATTCTAGGTTTTGATCTTGAGAGTGACACACAGCGCTTTCATCTGATGCAATTAAATATAGTTAACGGGCCTGGAAGTATCTTTGGGCAGCCCAAAACTTCATTAATTCTGCTGCTTTTCTGTGAGTCACCAGACTTCAGAGCAGCTGCTGCAGATGCTGCACCTCCACGTGTGATTGTCCATCAGAGGTGTGTGCCAGCAGCCTGCCAGCCTGCTGGTGGTCACGGTGGCCATCTGAACCAGCAGAATCACAGAATCTTCTAGGTTGGAAGGGACCTTAAAGATCATCTTGGCCAACCGTCAACCTAACTGACAAAAATAGACACCCACACAACAAACAAGGAGCATCATCACTAAACCAGACCTCCCAGCACTACATCAACCCGTCTTTTGAACACCTCCAGGGATGGGGCCTCAACCACCTCCCTGGGCAGCCCATTCCAAGGGCTGAGAACCCTTTCCGTGAAAAAATGTTTCCTAATATCCAGCCTGAACCTCCCCTGGCGCAACTTGAGGCCATTTCCTCTTGTCCTGTCGCCTGTGACTTGAGAGAAGAGACCGATCCCCATCTCTCTACACCCTCCTTTCAGGGAGTTGTAGAGAGCAATAAGGTCTCCCCTCAGCCTCCTCTTCTCCAGGCTGAACACCCCCAGCTCCCTCAGCCTCTCCTCATAAGACTTATTCTCCAGACCCCTCACCATCTTTGTCGCCCTTCTCTGGACCCGCTCCAGCCCCTCAATGTCTTTTTTATGGTGGGGGGCCCAAAACTGGACACAGTACTCAAGGTGAGGCCTCACCAGTGCCCAAGACAGGGGGACAATCACCTCTCGGGCCCTACTCGCCACGCTGTTCCTGATACAGGCCAGGATGCTGTTGGCTTTCTTGGCCACCTGGGCACACTGCTGGACCAGGTCTGTCTTTGTGGGAGGTATCAGAACTGGGGAGGCTGGTGGAGAACATCCCGGAGACACCTGCTGGTCCCCAGGTGGGTCTCTGCATCCCCACTGTGCGTCACTGAATAGCCCTTCCCCCAGAAATGGGTGAGCAGCCCTGGCTTTGAAGTGAGGATCGTCGCTATCGTTAACTGTCTTTATTAATTAAGAGTTTTACACATCCCAGATCCTGTGTTTGTTGTCTATAATCGTAGCAGACCTTTGTTTCCCGTGGACTCCTCATTCTTTCTGAAGCCACAGAATTATGGCAAAAAGGCCCATTTTTTCTGTATTGGTCTGTTAGGTGTCACGTTCTTCTTACGGAGGATTTAACTTCTTTCCTGTTTAGAATTTTTCTTCTTCCTGAATATTTAAATAATGTTATCTTCCTTTTTTGTTTGTTGTTTTTTTCTATTCCTTCCCTCTCTGTCCTGCTGTGTGTTATTACACCAAAGCATTGGCTACCGCTGCAGCACCTCGTCCTCCATCTGTTGGGTTTGTAGCCTCTGGCGTTGGCCAAGTTCAGGAAGCCCGTGTCTCAGGGCATAAATAAACAGCTTGCATTAACCCAAGATCCTAGATCCTAAGGTGGGGCTTTAATTCTTTTATTTTTTCCATGCATCTCACAGAAATAAAGGACTAGGGAAGAGAGGGACTTCTTTTTTGATCTACCATGTGGTGAAACTTTCACTTGGTTGTAGTCAAAGCTGAGATTGATGAGACCAACACTTCAACTTGTGTATTGAAAAGCCAAGTTAGCTTTTTAGGGCTCCGAAGTCAATACTCAGCAGCTTCCTTGGGGCACTGTAAAATTAAAAATATACCTTTTTTTTAAATATTGTAATTCTGTTTTGTTGGGGTTTGTGATATGTAAACTGCAGAAAATGCTGGAAATATTACAGAGGAAAAAACAGATCATTTGTAGGCGAATCAAAGGATAATCTGATTTTATTTACTAATTGTATTGATAATTTGTCCTCATAAGCGTCGTATTTTCTGGTTAAAACTCTACTGTAACAAAGGACTAAGATACAGCTGGTGATGCTTCCTGCAGTACCGGGAATAAAATTTATTTTGGAATGTTAATCTCTTCAGTCATTTTCTGTAGACAAAAGGTTTTTAGAACTCGGCTACCGTGAGGATGTGCTCCTGAGCAGCCATTCGTGCAGCCGTGACAAGGAGAAATGCCCACAATTCAGGGAAGCCAAAGGACCAGAACCCTCATTGCGCATTGGAGCGGGGTGATGGCTCTGCCTGGACAGTCTCAGTTGTGCCCTGGTGCCTGTCGGGGTGTGCTGTGTGAGCCCTTCCACGGTACCAGAAATCCAAAAAATGAAGTCGTAGCCGAAACAGACTAGTTATGAAAAGTTCTTGAATGTGTTTATTCATATACCTGCCTCTGAGTGAGTGTTACCTGCTGTCACAAGGTGTGATTTTGGAGGCATTTAGATGAACCAGAGCGTAGTGGTTCCTCACTTCCACGGATGCCCACTGCTCTCTGGGCTGTAGGGGAGCTCCTGTAGCGTCACACAAGGGTTAAAGGCAGGAGCCCTGGGGTCTGTGAAGGAAACAGCAGGGAGAGTATCAACACCCTGCTCTCTGGGCTGTAGGGGAGCTCCTGTAGCGTCACACAAGGGTTAAAGGCAGGAGCCCTGGGGTCTGTGAAGGAAACGACCCGGAGAGTATCTGATTCCTGCATTGCCTGGAAATATTTCTGAACCTCTCCTAAGGGTGAGCTGGTCTGGGCAAGCACAAACTGGACAAAGGGGGGAAGGGAAGATGTTCAGAAGGGAAGGTATTAAGAAAAGAAAGGGGGGAAGGGAAGATGTTCAGAAGGGAAGATATTGAGAAGCTGTACCCTGCTGGAGAGGGTACCATCGTGCCCTGGTGCCTGTCAGGGTGTGCTGTGTGAGCCCTTCCATCGTACCAGAAACCCAAAAAATGAAGTTGTAGCCGAAACAGACTAATTATGAAAAGTTCTTGAATGTGTTTGTTCATATACCTGCCTCTGAGTGAGTGTTACCTGCTGTCACAAGGTGTGATTTTGGAGGCATTTAGATGAACCAGAGCGTAGTGGTTCCTCACTTCCACGGATGCCCACTGCTCCCCTGCTCTCTGGGCTGTAGGGGAGCTCCTGTAGCGTCACACAAGGGTTAAAGGCAGGAGCCCTGGGGTCTGTGAAGGAAACGACCCGGAGAGTATCTGATTCCTGCATTGCCTGGAAATATTTCTGAACCTCTCCTAAGGGTGAGCTGGTCTGGGCAAGCACAAACTGGACAAAGATTCTGGGATTCTGTAATCCCTGTGGCTGATGGCAGGCACGGTGTCACC